CCACTCGGTGTGCGAAGGCTGTGCGAGTAGCGCATCTCTTTCATCTCGCGTCGCACCCTTGAATTGCCCCGGGCTCATCCCGTTGCATCTGCATCAACAGTTGAAAGGCCGCGCCTCTGATGCCACCTGCCATGGCTGGACCTGCCGCGTATTCTGCGCACTCCGCTTGGCGCCGCCGCAACCTGAACGGCTGTCTGTAGCGGCGCAGCGGGGCCTGCTACTGCCTGGTGAGGGGGCCCAGGCGAAGCATGACCCTCCCCAAGTGTAACTCGAACAGGAACAAAGCCGAAATCCAGCTGACCCCGCCCGTGCACCCGCACACCTTTGCGCCTTGGTTGTTTTTGTTCCATGCGGCTGGCTTTTTGAAATGCGCGTTCGCGCGGCTATGGCGCGGCAGTCTCTCGTGCGCGCTTGCGTCAGGTCGGCGCAACCAGCGATGGCGTCGTGGCGAACGGCGCCGGATCGTTACGATTGCGTCCGCTTCGGGGCCGTTCGCGCGCGCTGCGTCATTCGAATTTGTCGAGTTTTCTCTGGTGCGTTTCGCGCGCGCCCGCCCTGGCGCCGACGCTGCCATTCGTCGCGATGAACATGCGGCAGCCCAGGGACGTTGCATTCCACTGCGGAGATCCACATCGAACCAAAAACGTCCATTCAAACATGTTATGATTTGAGTCCATTATCACTGTCGTATTCGTTGTCGCCATCGGTTCCCTCTTCTTTTCCACGTCACTGGTGTGTCTCCCCAGTTCTGCGCAGGCCCAACCTCTTATCCCCCCTTGCCCATGCCCTCATTACTTTTCTCTTTTCTCAACCCTCATCGGTGGTCCTTCCTCCTTTCCTCTTCCTGTTTTACGTTGTCTTCCTTCTAGCCTCCCTCATCCGTCCCCCTTCCGCCTCTCTCCCCCCCCTTCCTTCCCTGGTAGCATTCCCGCCTTCCCTTGGCGCCCCTCTTGCCGTTCCTCCCGCCCCTCGCTCCGGGCGGTCTTCCTTCCCCCTCCTGTAGCCATGCTCCTCCGTCACGTTCCTCCTGTTTCCCATCGCACCCCTCCTTCCTGCGAGGTATCATAATGCCATGTTGGGGCCCCCGGGGAGAGGGCCCGCGGCTGGGGCGCGGCTTGGCAGCGGCTGGGCGGCGGCGGGGCCGCGGCGGGGATTCGGCTGGGATTTTGCTGGCGGCGTTTTTTTGTTGAGGGGTGGCAGTTTTTTTGGGGGGGCGGCGGCTGGGCGGCGGCGGGGCCGCGGCGGGGAGTTGGCTGGGATATTGCCCGGCGGAGGCCGGGAATTGGCTGGGATCGCTGCCGGGCGGGGGGTCCGCGCGCCTCAGGAGCGCGTCCGTAGCGAAGATGTGGATCGCGACTTGCATTGGTCAGGGCACTTTCGGCTTACTAATGTTCGCGCCTCCTGGCGCCCTCGTATCGTAACGGGCTGCGTATTCAGCGTACATCACCTTGGAACTTCGCGTATGTTTGACCTTTGTGCTTCGGCTTCACAGTCGTTCTGCGCTGTGGCGGCATCGTCGTTTCGACATAGTTCGTCTGCTTCGCAGTCGTGCTGCGCAGTGCGGCGGTATTCTTGTTGCGACGCGCCCCTGTTCTGCCTCGCAATCGTGCTGCGCTGCGTGGCGGCGGTTTCGCGTTGACGCGCGTGCGTGTTTTCTGCTTTGCAATCGCGCTTCGCTGTGCGGTGATATCTTTGTTTCGACGCGTGGGCCCGTTTTTGTGCTCGTGTCTGCGGCTATTCCATTGCAGTGGCAACGCTGTCGTTCGTTGCGCCCGGGGGGGATGCGTCGCCTCCCCCTTCGTTCGACGCGGCCGGTTTTCACTCGCCGCGGTCGCCCGGTTGCGCGGCGCAGCGTAGCGCCGCAGTTTTTTCTTGCTTTGCCGCGCTACAACAGGCGGCGAAGCGCCTCGCCCCCGCCCTTTTGCTCAGTTCGCTCGCGGCGCGGCATTCAGCGCCGCGCGGCAAGCTGCGCCCTGCGAGCGCGCATTATTGAATTGGGCATTGTCCAAGACCGCGCGGCTATGCGCTCCTCTGCCTCCCCCCATTTCCCCTCCCCTCCAACCGACCCCTCTCCATACCCGCTCCTTGTCCTTTCCTCCAGCTTCCTCGACGCTTCGCCGCCGCTGCGCCGGTGCTATTCTCCGAGAGGCTGGTGTTTTCGGGGTCCTCTCTCGCTTCGGGGGGGCTGTCCCGCGGCGGCTCTGCGGCCGCGCGAGCGCCGTGCCACCTCCGGTTTTTCTCTTGGGGGGGCCTTTAGACGCGCGCCCGCTTGGGCCTCCTCAGTGCCTGGCCGCCATCCAGGCGGCGTGCTCTTGTGGAGCGTGTAGAGGGGGCACGTGAGCCGCCGCCGCTGCCAGAGGTGCCCCCGTAGCCCATCCATGGCTGAGTGCGTGCGTTTGCCAAGCCGGGTGTCGATGCCGACGGTGGTGAGGATGGGTGACAATCGCAGCAATCATACCCGCGATGGGCCACTTGAAACTGCTTGCGTACTACTGTTGCTGCTGGTACATGTAGGGTTCTCGCCTCATGCGGCGCTGCACCAGAAACAGAGCGGCGAAGCTGAAGGCACAGGGACGGCAGGTCTCGATGGATTTGCCACCACATCAGCGCTACCAGAGTTATTTGCTCAGCATAAGATTTGGCACCATATTGCTTGTGCAAGGATTGCTACGGATGGTGGAGTCAACATTCACATGCATCTCTGGTAATTCTGAAACCTCCTACCCCCCGAGCAATTTCCTTCCTCCTCCCCCTCTCGTCCTCCTCCTTCTCCTCTTCCTCCGCCGCCCCTCCCAGTTTTCTCTCGTCATTTTCCTCCTCCTTCTCCCCCCTTCTCCTCCTCCACCCCCGCCTCCTCCTCCTCTTCCTCCTCATCCTCCTCCTCGTCCTCCTCCTCCTCCTCCTCCTCCTCCTCCTCCTCCTCCTCCTATTCCTCCTCCCTCCCCCTCCTCCTCGTCATCTTTTTCTTCCTCCTCCTCCTCCTCCTCCTCCTCCTCTTCTCAATTGCGGCGCAGGCCCCGCATCAAGTTCCGATGTGGTTTTTCGCTCAGCGCCCCAGCCCTGTCACCGCCTCATCGCGGCACTTTGGCGGCACCGTTGTTGTTGTTGTTGTTGTTGTTGTTGTTGTTGTTGCTGTTGTTGTTTTTGTTGTTGTTATTGTTTCTTTTTTTTTCTCTCACGGCGTCCAACCGGTGGCGAAGCCGGGCGAAGCCAGGTTCGGCAATTGCGTTTTTGTTTTATCCCATGGTGTCCGTGGAGGCGGTGAGCTTCGGAGTGACAGACCGGGTCAGGTCCATCATAGGTTCGGTCGTCCCCTACCTGTGCTGCCCCACGCGCTCGTTCTCCCATGTCGCGTTCGCTGAACAGTGGGAAACCGACCCCAAACCCCACAACTCTGGATTTTACACGTCAGCGTTTTGCATTTACGGCGAATGAGCGTGCGTGTAGACGCCCTGTCGGCGAGACCATCGCCTGCTACCGCAGGGGGGCCCCGCGCGCGCGGCGACGCCCTGGGCCCGCTCGACGCGGCCGCGCCCGCCCCCGTGTTCCCAGGGCGGCGCGTGCAACGGCCGCGGCTTGCATTTTGAGGCGATGGCGGCGATGGCGGCGCTGTCCCTCAGCCGACGGCCCCCGCGCCCGCCTCCGTCGCCCCCTCTTGGCCCCGCCGGCGGAACAGTTTAGATCGAGAGCGTTTCTCTTAAGGCAGCAGGGCCAATACGTATTAAACATATGGCGTTTATACAAACACGTTGTTCAGTTTATATAAACTTGTCGGGGCTCTCCCGCGCGAGACTTACTGTTTCGGACAAAGTTGGATTGATTTTCTATGGGGTTTGTATAATTGTTCCGCCTTGGCCTAAACTTTGTTTTTGGGGTGGATCTAAATTTTTCGATGCGCGCCCGCGCGGGGCGGTCCCCGGGCGCCGCGCGGGGCTCTTGCCAGCGCCGCCAAGGGCCGACGCGCCCACTGGCGTTTTCATCGGCACGAGCGCGCGTATTTCCACAATGGTTTTGGGAGTTGACCGCGCGCCACCACAAGGAAACGCCAAGTTCGAATGCCAATGAGCATGGTAACACCTCGCCGTTCGCATGTTATGTCGCGGCGCTGACGCTGGCTGACCGTCGAGCTGTTTCCGCTCTCGATCAGTTCGCGCGTCGGTTGGCGGCCCCCTGGCTCTAAAACGCCTCATGTGGGGGGGCGGGGGGCGTTTTTCATGTGTTCGTTCGTGTTAGCCACGCTCCTGTTTTGGGGTGGGAGAGGTGCCGTGTGTGTCTTTTCTCCGAACCCACCTCAGGGGTATTCGGGATTGTATTTCAAATTTGTAGTCGTTGTCCTTTTTGGTCGGCGCGGGGCCTTTCTCTCGCAGCAATCAATGGGTTTAGTTGGATATGGCAATCCATGTTTTCGGGCGTGCGTGTGGATTGTCTTTGTTACTCGTATGTTTGACTTTTCTGCGGACACTTGTGGTGGGTTACTCTGTTTGTCAACGGGTATGGAAATATCAATCAGTGTTGCGCCACGAAGAGCCTGAGTGCTCTGTTCGCAATAGCGGTGGAGTTTTGAAATTCTGTCATCAGGTAGTTCAGATGTTTCGTGTTTTGGATATCCTCGCCTCGTCCGTCGTTTGAGCTGGGGGGAGGCCTTCTCAGCGAGACTTCGTCGCGTGGTCATGCTCCTCCTCCTCCTCCTCCTCCTCCTCCTCCTCCTCCTCCCTCTCCTTTTCGTCCTCCTCCTCCTTCTCCTCCTCCTCCTCCTCCTCCTCCTCCCGTTCCCCCCTCATCCATATTGTTTTGTTTCTCCTCCGCCTTCTCTCCGACCTCTTCATCTCCCTCCTCCCCGACCTCCTCGTCATCTCCTCCACTTCCTCCTCCTTCTCCTCCTCGATCTCCTCCTCCTCCTCGTCCACCTCCTCCTGTTTCTCCTCGTCGTCTCCGACCTCGTCCTGGATTTCCCCCCGTCCATCCTTCTCCTCTCCCCTCCCCTCTCCGCCCCTCCTGCCATGGACGGCGCCCCGGCGTCTCGGCGGGTCGCCGCCACGCTGGGCGCCGCGGCGGTGGTGGCCCTGGCGGTCCGGCGCCTGCGTCGCCGGGCGGAGGCCGCCGCCGAGGCCGCTGCCGCCTCCCAGGTTCAGGGGAGGGATAGTACCAGCTATGCGCAAGCCGAAAAAGAAACGACGCCGTAAACATAGACTTTTGGCGCTCCGCGCGGATACGTTGGATCCGCGCTGGGCCCCCTCCCCGCGGCGCCTCGGGCGCCGCCTTGGCGCTCTCCGCGCGCCGGTGAAGGAGGGAAATCGTTTCTTCATTACTAACGGACGTAATGCGCGCCACCCCCCCGGGCCCCCCTTCCACGAAATGGTGACGCGGGGAACCCGGCACCGGGCGTGAATGCGTGCAGGTTTCCCATATATGTGGAGGAGCAGGAAATGTAGCAGCAGCTGGAGAAGCAGCAGCAGCAGGAGGCGGAGGATGAGGAGGACGAGGAGGAGGAGGAGGAGAAGGAGGAGGAGGAAGAGGAAGAGGAAGATGAGGAGAGAGGAGGAGCTGTGTTACACAGCTCCTCCTCCATCCCTCCGCCCTTCCTCACCTCCTACACTGTAGGAGATGAAGAAGGGCAGGAGGCGGAGGAAGAGGAGGAGGGGCAGCAGGAGGAGGAAAAAGGAAAAGGTGGAGGAGGAAGACGAGGAGGAGGAGGAGGAGGGGGAGGAGGAGGAGGAGGAAAAGGAGGAGGAGGAAAAGGAGGGGTTGAAGAGGGGAAGGAAGAGGAGGACGAAAACGACGACGACCGACGTGACCCAGAGGCCCCCAGAGGTGCACTCAAACACGGGGGCCTCGTGGTGCTGCTGCGGCAGCAGGTGGTGTGCAAAACGCTGTGGTGCACGCAGGCATCCTGGCGCACGCAGGGCGAGCTCACACAGATAATGTGGTGCACGCAAGCACGGTGGTGCGCTGCGGTGCACTTGGTTCCTTACTGTGCGCGGGCATTGCGGTGCACGAAAGCGAAATTGTGCACGCAAGCGCAATGTCATTACAACACATTCGTATTATTCCCAACCCTCTTGCGTTGGGTTCTCGTTTTGAATAATGCAGCTGCGGTCGCGACTCCTCTCCTCTCCTCTCCCGCACCCTCCTCCTTTCCCCCCCCTGCTTCCTACCTCGCTCGCTCCTGCCTGCCAGTTTGTCTCCTATCTCACCATCCCTGGGGGGCTGCGATCTGCGAAACTGTCGCCACTTTCGAGGGCTGCTGGGGGGCCCAGCGGAGTGGGGTCTACGCAGATTCAGATTAGACCTCGCCATCCCTGGGGGGCTGCGATCTGCGGAAGTGACACCACTTTCGAGGGCTGCTGGGGTGCCCAGCGGAGTGACATCATACGCAGATTCAGAGTAGACCTCGCCATCCCTGGGGGGCTGCAATCTGCGAAACTGTCGCCACTTTCGAGGGCTGCTGGGGGGCCCAGCGGGGTGACGTGATACGCATATTCAGATTAGACCTCGCCATCCCTGGGGGGCTGCGATCTGCGAAAGTGTCGCCACTTTCGAGGGCTGCTGGGGGGCCCAGCGGGGTGGCGTGATACGCGTATTCAGATTAGACCTCGCCATCCCTGGGGGGCTGCGATCTGCGAAAGTGTCGCCACTTTCGAGGGCTGCTGGGGTGCCCAGCGGAGTGACGTCATACGCAGATTCAGATGAGACCTCGCCATCCCTGGGGGGCTGGGATCTGCGAAACTGTCACCACTTTTGAGGGCTGCTGGGGTGCCCAGCGGAGTGACGTCATACGCAGATTCAGATTATCCCCCATTCCATCCTTCTCCTGCCCCTCGTTCCTGTCCCCGTTGTTCTTCGAGCCTGGAGCCTCAATCCTCGTTCTTTCGATCGTCGTCCTGTGAGTTGTGCAACGCATGCGCATCCCATGTAGTTTGCGCAGCAATTCACCGCGTCTACACTGTCGTTGTTCCTGCTAATGTTGGCCTACTCCTCTTGCCACTTGATGCACATATGTTGGGTACGTCGCAGGGTAATCATTATTACTATCATTGCTACGACTACTACTACTTCTACTACTACTACGACGACTACTACTACTAGGACTACTACTGCTATCACTACTCCCACTATTATTACAAGTACTACTGCTACTGCTACTACTACGACCACTACTACTACGACGACTACTACTACTACTACTACTACTACTACTACTATGACCACTACTGCTACTACTACCACTACTACCACTACTACTATTACTACTCCTGCTACCACTACGAGTAATACCGCTGCGACGACTACTAGCACTACTACTACTACTACTAGTACTGCTACTACTACTAGGACTACTACTGCTATCACTACTCCCACTATTATTACAAGTATTACTGCTACTGCTACTACTACGACCACTACTATTACGACTACTACTACTACTACTACTACTACTATGACCACTACTGCTACTACTACCACTACTACCACTACTACTATTACTACTCCTGCTACTACTACGAGTAATACCGCTGCGACGACTACTAGCACTACTACTACTACTACTACTACTACTGCTACTACTACTACTACTACTACTACTACTACCACTACTACTTCTACTACTACTACTACTACTACTGCTACTAACAATAGTAATGCGACTACTACTACTACTAATACTACTACTATTACCACTACCACTACCACTACACGTACTCGTACCAGTATTCGGATTAGTGCCATTATTGTTATTACGGCAAACAGTATTATTACTATTCTTATTGCGAGTACGGCTATCATTACTATTACTACTATTACTCCTATTACTACTGCTGCATTTACTATTACTACTACGGCTACTATCTCGACTAGTATTCCCATTATGGCTACTAGCTACTAATAGTACTACTACGACGACGACTGCTACTACTACTACTACTACAAGGACTACCACTGCGCCCACTACTGCAAATACGACTGCGACTTCGAGTATTATTACGACGACGACGACGACTACTATTACTACTGCTACCACTATTACTACTACCGCCCTTACCACCACTATTACTACTACGGCTACTACTACTACTACTACTACTACTACTACTACTACTACTACTACTATTACTACTACCACTACTACTACTACTACTACTACCATTCCACTACTACTGCTGCTACTACTACTACTACTACTACTATTACCACGACTACTATTACTACGACTACTACTACTACGCCTACTGCTTTTACGACCACGACTACTAGTATTATTACTACTACTACTACTCGTACGATGATTACGACTACTACTACTACTACTGCTACTACTACTACTACTATTACTACTACTACTACTACAAGCAGTATTATTTCTACTACTATTACAACTACAATGACTACTAGTACTGCGACGACTACCATCACTATTACCACAACGATTATCATTCGTACTGGTTGTTCTAGTACTAGTAATAGTAGTAGTTCTACTACTACTACTATTCATACTACGACCACAACGACTACCAATATCACAATTGCGATTGCTACTACTACTAGTACCACTACGATTACGACTACGACTACGATTACGATTATTGCTAGTACTACTTCCATTGCTACTACTACTACTACTACCACTACTATTACTGCTACTACTACTACTACAGCTACTTCTACGACTACTACTATTACTGCTAGTACTACTACTACTACGATTACAAGTACAACTACTACTACTACCACCACTACTAAGAGTTCTGCCACTAGTACTAGTATTAGCGCTACTAAAACCACTACTACTAGTACTACTACTACGACGACTACTACTACTACTACCACTACTACTACCACTACCTACTACTCCTATTACTACTACTACCACTCCGAGTACTAGCAGTGTTACTACTACTATCACTTTTACAACCACTACAACTGATCTACTACGACGACTACTACTACTACAACCACTACCACTACCACTACCACTACTACTACTACTACTACTACTACTACTATTACTACTACTACTACTACTACTATCCCATCACTTCCACTACTACTACTACTACTACTACTACTACTACTACTACTACTACTACTACTACTACTGCTTTTGTTTATATCATTATTTGTACTGCTGCTACTACTACTACTACTACGACTGCTACTACTACTACTACTACTACTACTACTACTACTACTACTGCTACTAGGGGTGACCGGCTCCTGGGTGCGAGCCGCTCCCCCGGCCCCTCCCTACAGCACTCCGTTCGGTGCGTTGTGTGGTGTGCGGTGTGCGGTGTGCGGTGTTTCGTATGCGTTTCGTGGTCGTTTCGTATATGTTTCCAATATGTTTTCTCTCTGTTTCCAATATGTCTCCTCTCTGTTTCCAATATGTTTCCTCTATGCTTCCCATATGTTCCCAATATGTTCCCTCTATGCTTCCAATATGTTTCCTTTCTATGTTTCCAATATGTTTCCGAATGTTTCATCTATGTTTCCCATATGTGTCCTAAATGTTTCCTCTATGTTTCCTAAATGTTCCCTCTATGTTTCCTATATGTTTCCTTTATGTTTCCTATATGTTTCCCATATGTTTCCAATATGTGTCCTAAATGCTTCCTATTTGTTATCCAGATGCTTCCTATATGCTTCCCATACGTTTGGTATATGTTTCATAGTTATATATATATACATATATTTCGTTTTGTTTCCTTTTACGTTTTGTCAACGTTTCCTCCATGTGTCTTATATGCTTCCAATATGTTTCCCATATGTTCCTGTATGTTTCCAACATGCATCCTATATGTGTCCTACAAATGTCGTCTATGTTTCCTATATGTTTCCTATATGTGTCCTGTATGTGTCCTATACGTTTTCCATGTGTGTCCGATATGTTTCTAGACGTGTCCTATACGTTTTGCATACGCTTCCTATATGCCTTGTATACATGTCCGATATGTTTCCTATACGGTTTGTATACGTTTCCTATCTGTCTCCGATATGCTTCCTGTACGTTTTCTATACGTTTCCTATATGTTTCTATACGTGTCCTACAGATGTTTTGGATGCTTCCTATATGCTTCATATATGTCCCCGATGTGTTTCCATTACGTTGCTTATGTGCTTCCTAAACGTT